CAAAATGTGGCTTTTACACCTAAACTACAACATGCTTTTAGGAAATACAATGATTCCAGTTTGGATGCCGATGAAACGGAATCGGAGCTGGTGGCCATACCAGAAAGTGATTTATCCGATAGTACTTTACACGGCAGCAGTGCCCCTGGCTCTTTTGATGATACCATACATTTCGAGGAGATAAACTCCACAAAATTAGAGGTTTTAAGAAGCCGTCGTACTACAGAAGAAACTATTAAAAATCAAAAAACCATGATTACTACCAAAACTGGTGATACTTATACCACTAAAATTAAATCCACTGTGTCGGAAACAGTCTCCACAACTGTAGTAGCTACTCACTCAAGACACAGTCTACAGGAGGGAGTGCGCATGATTGTTACACCTTTGGTGGGCACAGAACCTTCAGAGACCGCTATTATAAGTCCACCCGTAGATGTACACCGTGCCATAACTGTACGCAATAAGTCACAAGATTCGGCGGCCACTTCCACCTCAAAAATGTTTGCTGCCATAGCTACCAATCATTTAAAAGCTTTGGGTGCGTTGCAAGATATAAGTCCAAGAGTCACTGAGGCAAAATCTCAATCCTCCACTAATGGTTCACGTTCCGCTAATGGTAATGGAGAAAGTTCTGACAAGAGACAAGTTGTTGCCAAACAGACAACAGTGGAGCAGTCCAAGAAGCCCTTGGGCAGACACAAGACCATTATAGAATGTAGTGCTGGCACTTCGTCTTCCTCAAATGGTAACGATGATTCCCGATTAAGTGCTAATCACAAAAAACTAACCTCCAAAACCTTGAAAAGATCGGATAAGGCCTACGGCTCGCCAGATTCACCACTCTCTAAAATGAGTGTCATGCCTAATCCAGTAGACGAAATTGACCCTTCCACATTACCGCCTCCCAAGAATATTGGCACTCTAGAAATACCTACTCCCGAACGTTTATTGCCCATAGGCACACAAGAAAGTGTAGCCGCCATAGCGGATCGCTTACGCGAAGGCCTCAACTTACCCGATATCAGTCATTTGAAACAAGACAGTCTTGATGTTTCGGAAAGTACTAAAGATGATGTAACACCCTCAAGTCGTACAACCTCACCAAGACGTCTAATTAAACAAGTAGCCCTGGAAGAACCCCATCATACCACCCATCATGTTGGTGCTCAACAAGCTACGCACAAAGACGAAACTCAACATGATTTACACACGTCGATTTTAAAAACGGTTCAGGAAGATAAATCGAATGGGGCCGTAGGTCCTTCTACTACATCGGCTGGGGCACAAATACCACTTAATACAGCAGCTCGCACGGATAGTGCCAAAAAGCCACGACAAAAGATGGCACCATTTGCGGTAGATGTCAATGCAATACCCGATATACGTTCGCGTTATGCTGGCTCCTGGCCTCCGCCGCCCTATCAACCACCCGAAGAACAAGATGATGATTTAGATGATGGACTAGAGAATGGTTTGGGTGGTCAGCCAATACCGCAGCCAGATAGAGTGGTATGTAGATGTGGAGTTTATTAATTACGGAATTTTTCCTAAAAATCGAATTAGTTTTTAATTTTCACGTAAAAATGCCATTTTCACCAAAAATTTCGATTCAAACCAATTTTTCAGCAAAAATTTAATTTTTTCCAAGAATCCGATTTTTCACCAAAAATACAATTTTTCACCAAAAATACAATTTTTCACCAAAAATCCCTTTTTTCATACAAAATTTAATTATTCACCATAAATCCAATTTTCCGACGTTTCGCCAAAAAACTGTATTTACCAAAAATACAAATTTTCACGAACAATCCAAATAAAATTTTCCGACGTTTCGCCGAAAAACTGTATTTACCAAAAATACAAATTTTCACGAACAATCCAAATAAAATTTTTCACCATAAATCGCATTTTCACTTAAAATCCAATATTTCGCCAAATAACCGCTTCTCGTCAAAAATTCCACTTTAAAAAATCAAGTTTTCTCCAAAAATCCATTTTCATCAAAAGTTAATTTTTTTTTACAATTTTACCAAAAAATCGATTTTCCATCAGTCCGTTTTTATCATTCCGTTTTTTAACAAAAATCCACGTTTTACCAAAAACCCGATTTTCACCAACAATTCAATATAATTTTTTATATAAATTTTTAACGGAAAACTGTATAAATCTAAATTGTTTGCAGAGCACTCGTCGAGTAGGTGATTATACCGTATGTGAACGCTGTTCAGAATGTGGTGCTTTAATTGAAGAATATACCGATGAAGAGATTGGTTTGCTAATTGTTATACTGGGTACTTTCATACATAGAGAACCCTCTATGGCAGCACCATTTTTACCGGAAATATTAACCATAACATCGAAGTAAGTAAAAGATTTTTTATTGAGGAAACAAATTTAAATAAAACTTAATCTTTTAGAATATCTTCGACCTGCACTTACGCTTGGCAGGGTGAAAATGGTCCACCCTTATTATGCAGTGGTCAAGCGGTAGCATTACAATTTCTACGCTGTGTTTTACATCAACTGGCACCCAATGGTATATTTTTACAAATTCTACAGACAGAAGTTATAAGTATGTTGACCAGCAACAGAAAATATCACACAATTTATTAACATTTCCTAAATTATTTCTATTGCAGTGAAAGTTAGGCGTAACACCTTCCGTAGTATTGCCAAGGCTTTACAAGACTTCCAGGAATTAAATGCTTCCAGTCCCATTTACATGGTGTGTGAAGCTTTGCAAGCCAAAAAATCTTTACCCGTAGAAAATTTACCCATTATTTTCCGCAACATGTCCGAGTATTTACAGTGTGTGGTACCCGATGCTACGGTACAGTCTGCTTGGCCTCAGGCCATGACTAGTTTGGAAAATTTACTTAGACAAGTTATTGTTATATTGCCCACCTTGACAAATCATGAATACCTTTTGGATCTTATGGTGGCTACATTGCGTTTGAATTGTGTACCCAAAACACTGTTAGATCCCTATTCTAAAATATTAGCCTATTGTGTGCAACACACCAATTTGGACTATTCAGTTTTATACGATATTTGCATTTATTCACGTTCCTTTTCACGAGATCGTGATAAGCAATATTTATGCCGTCAATTGATATTTGAATTTGTACAGGCCTTAAAGTTTAAAACCAATATACCAGATCATAATCTACTAATGATTATAGGATTTGTGTTATTGGATGCTGGCGGTACTTTACCACCGGGTACATTGCAAGATATACCAGAGGTTCCACCCAATATTTCTACAAATTCAGCCGATTGTTTGAGGCAGTATATCAATGATGTTATAGACTTTTTGGCAGATTTTCATACTCTCAGTAAAATTAAGGTAAGACCTTTAGAAAATAATTATACTTTTTACTCATATACAAATTCCTTAAAGAATTTCAAAAATTCTCAAACCCAAAATGGTTTGGGAGAAGATACTTTGGGTGGTGTTTTAAAGGGTGCTGTATCACAGTATTTGGCTTTGGAAATGTCGCGTGGAAACTCTAGAGATAATAAAGCTGTAGCTAGGTATTTACCCTGGCTTTACAATGCTCCCTCATCACTACAACAAGGGTGAGTTATTAACCTATATTATACTAAATAATCTTAAAAAATAACTAACAAAACTCTTCTTCATAAAGGCCCAAAGAATTTACCGAATGTGTGGGTCACATGCGTTTGCTTTCCTGGCTGCTACTAGGTTCTCTCACTCATATGGCTTTATTGCAACGACGTTCTACCATACATATAGCCACAACTGCAAATGCCACTACTAGCCAACCAACTAATGCCAACAATCCAACTAGTGGTCATCATACTGCAGCTGCTGGTCATGCAAATTTTTCACAACCTGTTCCCCAAGAAGCCTCCTGTCATATAGCCGATCATATACAAGTTATTTTTGCTGGTTTCGCCGAACAATCTAAGACCTCTGTCTTGCATATGTCTTCGTTATTCCATGCTTTTACTTTGTGTCAATTGTGGACAGTTTATTTGGAACAAATTGCTCATACCTCCAATAATCCTGAGGGTAATACTATGGGTGTTCTCTTTGAGTTTTGGGCTAAAGTAACGCCCTGTATTTTACAACTGGTTTCACATTCGAAACCAACTAAGGAAACCAATGATTTTTCACAGAATTCGAATGCGAAGGTGAGAATTAGTATTTTGTGTTTTATATTTTAAAATTGACAAATAATTTTTTTGTTTTATTTAGCTTTCCGAAATGGTAAATTTGCATTTTCTAAGTTTATTGGAAGCATTGAAGGAAACAAATTCAACAGTTTTAAGCAAATTATTGCCATTGTGGAGTCCAGTTTTGTCCTCGCAAACACAGGTAATGTTCCAAAAAACGAATATTTATTGATTTCTTAACTATGTGAGAAAATAGAAATCTGAATTGATGTAAAGTCTTAAATATCAAATACCTCGTTATATAGATTGGAATCAATATTTTCTTTAATATTCCATATTTTTTTTTTCTTTTTATTTCATTTTACCCCTCCTTTTGGAGGATTTTTAAAAAATCAATTTTATAATATTTTTTCTTATCACTTCACTTTAGCTTTCCGATACTTTGCATGTACGCTTACAAAACGTACGCGATTATGCTCCGGATTATGAGGAAAAGCAAACACATCATGCCGAGAACTTGCTGAAATGGTTACAACATTTACAATTTAAAATGGGACAAATTGAATTGCAGGCGTCGACCGCTACTCAATTCTATTCAATTTAAAAAGCCTATTAAAAATACATTTATATAAACTATTTATTACAAGTTATAATGACAGCCAAGTTAGAAAAGGACAAACGCAAGAGCTCAGCTCTTTATAGAATGTTTAAGAATAATGACGTTTAATGTTATTCAAATAAAAACCACAAACGTTTTTGTAGTTAAATGTTAAATCTGTGTTAAATGTTGTCGTTTTGAAATAATAAATAAAAAATAAAAAAAACTAACTACAAGTATATGGGAAAATGTAAGGTACCTGTTGTTTTACTCGTATACGGTATAGTTTACACCGCCAGACTTTTCCTCGTCTAGAGGATCATGAACTTCGTCATCTTCATTGAATTTTTGTTCACCTTCAATATTATGTGTTTGTGACTTGGGTTCACGATATTTGGTAAATGATGGTTTTGTTTTTAATTCCTCCTCAGAGGGTAATTGAAGTTTACGATCTTCTAAACGTTTAAGTTTAGCCGCCAAACGTTCAGCGGCCTGTTTTTCTTGGAGTTCCTAAAACAGAAATTGTTATAGTTCAGTATAAAAAAATTTTGTAAAAAAGTACCTTTAATTTAATTAAATATTGTGCTTGAATTTCAACGGAATCCATTAAATTGAGAAGTTGAGTACCATTATGCTGTATCGGAGGTGGAGTTGCTGCTGTAACTTCCCAATTTTTACCTTGCTTACGTTGTCTTTCTTTTTCAGGATCATGAACATTAGAGACGGTGGTGCGGTAAGGTTTAAACTTTTCCCTGATAGGTGGTTGTACATGCGTTTCAGTCTTATCTACCAAATAATGAACATGAGGCTCCAAATCTAAAGTGTGCGAGCACACACTACTACTCCTGGACTCTCCATTAAGAGAATTTATGCTACTGTTTAGAGTTTGTAATTTGGGCTTAATGTTATCTAATTTTTCCTTAATATCTATGGCCACGATTTCAGCTTCTATGGCCTGTTCTCCCTGAGCCTCTCCCCCGTTAGATTCGGTATTTACACCAGAATCTGGAGAATCTGCCTTAAAAGATTCTATTTCTTTAAGGTCTTCTTCAGTTATTAACTTAACTTCGGGTGGTTTAACTTTTACTTTTCTTTCATGCATTTGTCTTTGAGCTATTATCTTTAAGGGATCCATTTCAGTTTCATCATCACTATCTAAAACATCGTCCAAAGGATTTAGATTTTCTTGTTTCAAATTTCCCTGCCACTCCATTTCGTTTAACACTTTCTCGCCCTGAGAGGCTATATTTAAGTTGGAAAAGATTTCGGCAGCTTCATCTACATTTGAGCGTCTTTCCAGCTCTTGCAGCAGCTTATCGTAGAAATCTTGTATACGTTTGCCTTTATCTGGTAATTTTTGCAATTTTGATCTGTAAAACAAGTAAAATTTTTATATTGTTGTCTCAATTATTATCTTAACAATAGTTACTTATTTTGTAATAATTTCTCTTCCCGTTCCTTGATTTCCCTTAATTCCAACTGTGTCAATTTGGTGAGATCTTTGACGTACGACTCCTTTTTAGCCAAAGGCATGCCGCCACCAGGTATTCTATTTAATTTTGGTCTTAAGATGCTAGACATATTGTTTACTTTTTATTTATTTTAATTTCATCAATCGTGTGTTAATATTTTTTATTAATTTTTAAGCGCGATTTCTGCGATATTCTTCAACTTTATTTTTTTTCCGCACAAACAAAACATTTAAAGTATTCACTGTGAATGATTATCCAGGAATGTTTTAAGACTTGGCACCACTTGTTAAAAGTTGAAAAAAATCACAGATTTCAAGGCGAATGCACATAAGGCGTATATATTGTAAGGTGCGGTGCATGGCATAATAAAGGTGACTGCGATAAAGCAGCTGACTATTTTTTTATGTTTGTGTAAAGTATGCTTTCTGTCAAAAGTTTATATTGTTTACATGTTATGTTATTTGTTTACATTTCAAATGTCATTTTTGACAGTAATCATTCTAATACAAAAACAATATACATGTTGATTTTGTGTTGTTGTAGTGATGCCATGGTGAAGTCATTTCATTTTGCGTCGAATTCATTCGTCGGTTTTGAGAGAGAATTTTTTTATATGGAGTTTGACAGCTTCGGGCTAAATTTCCATGAAGAAAAAAACAATCAGCTGTTAAAATGACTTCACCAAGGGACTTCACCTTATTAGTTTCGCCATGATGGTGTTATTCAATCAGCTGAATATTTCTTCACTTGACTAGTACGTACTGATGTCAGTTTGTTATTGTTTACATTTTTGTATTTAAAAATTTCCGTTAAAACTGAGAAAAACTTCGTTAGTATTTTGAATTATTTATGTAAAAAATCTGAAAATAACAAGTATTTCGTAAAAAAATATTATTTCATTTAAATAATAGCATAATTGGTATGCATACAAACATGTTATTTAAGACCAATATTTTTTTCTATAATAGAACATATTTAAATATAACATATATTTGAATATGACATATTTAACAATATTGTTTCATATTTTGTATTAACACTTCTACGTTATGGCTTAATTTTAAAATGTATTAAATGTTAACAAGTTAAACAATATTGTTTTATATTTACACTATGTATATAACGTGACTACCTAAAAAATCTGTTCTGGAACGCTTTATAACAAAACCCATATGAAGTATTTACCCGGCCGGCGCACTGTGGACCATTTTTCGAAATGGCGGCCAAAAATCATTTTTTATGGTCACCGATTTTAAAGTAATGTTACTTATTTGAAAGTAAACACTCGCAAACCTCGGGAGACAAAAAATTACTACTGTATTTCAACTTTATCACACCGATCAGAGTAATCAAACATGAACTATCACAGCATTTTGCTTAATTTTCAATTGTCCTAGTAAATTTTTAATTTTAAAAGATTTTGAAGTAGCTTCTTTATGTATATTGAAATATTAAAAAAAAATGTTAAAGGTCAAAATTTCCCAAAAATCGGATTGTTAATAGATAGTAACTCCTAGGGAACAAGAGAGTGAATTCTCGATTGTTACGAACAATTTTTCAAGTCCCAATATTTTGGTAACTATTTTCTTACAAAAAACATCTCTTAGAACTCGGTTATTACGAACTAGTTTTTCAGTCCCGAACTTCAGAGTATAATCTGTACCCCGTTTCTGTATTTTTCGCATCGAGAAAAATTGTCGGAAAATTTATGATCATCTATATATACATATAAAATTCTAACGTTACTGACTGACTGATTCATCATCGCACAGCCTAAACGAAGCTAAATAGCTGAAATTTGGACAGGAGATTGGTCCCTCACCAAAAAGGTCCACTTAGACGGGATTTTTGGAAATTCGAATGTTTAGGAGGTAAAAAAGGCTAAAAACGGGTAAATTCGGTAACCTCATATCTCCTAAACTAGAAAAAATACAAAAACATTTTAAAGCTTATTGTCTTTTATTTAAAAAATAAGCGGACAGGTGTCTGGTACTTTTTTCAAATTCGACCCCTTTAGGGAAGTATTTTTATACTTTTTTTATACACCATGCATCTTTTAAACCAATGAACCTAACGAAAAAAATAAAAATACAAATTTAGTACTTTTTGGATATTTTTTTGTACCTATTTTTGGTACTTTTTGCATAAAACATTGTTTCCTATGTATTGATTTGTATTAACATGTGAATGAATACTTAATGATGGGCTCCTACTACGATATTGCAACTTTTTATAATAAAATGTTTATTACTTCAATAGAAAGAAAAAATACCAAAAGGGGAAAAAACGGGAAATTTGATCTTATTCAAACTCACTGACCCAATTTTAATAAAATTGAAGAAATTGATAGATTTACTGTTACTTGGAACTCCGGTACAAAGGACTATTTTTTGCTACTTTTTCGTTTTTTAACTGGTACTTTTTGTGTTTTTTATAATATGATCCTATAATATAATCCTAGAAACGTGATATTAAGCATGTGAAACCCAGAGTTAATGAGAATCTATAAAAGGGGAGTTTTTTTCGTTCTTTAAAAGGTAATTTTTGAATTTTCTATAATATTGAACCTAAGAACATGAATTTAAGCATTGAACCTAGAAACATGAAATTAAGAATGCAGAGCCCAGAGAAAATGAGAATCTATAAAATGGAACTTTTTGGTACTTTTTCGTTCTTCAATAGGTACTTTTTAAATTTTCTATAATATTGAACCTAGAGACATAAGTAGTAAATAAGAACATATAAAAGAGAACTCTTTGGTACTTTTTCGTTCTTCAACTGGTACTTTTTGAGTTTTCAATTATATTGAACATAGAAACTCAAAACCAAGCATTCAGGGACTTATGTGAATGAAAATCTAAAACGGAATATTTTCTGGTACTTTTTCGTTCTTTAACTGGTACTTTTTGAATTTTCGATAATATTGAACTTAGAAACATGAAATTAAATAAAAGATGTCTTTTGGTATTGTATAAACATAAAATGAATATATGTGTAAACATAAAATGAAACACGTAGTGTCCTGATTGAACGAAAATATAATAATACTTTTTGAATTTTCTATAATATTTAACCTAAAAACATAAAATTGGACATGCAACTTCCTGAGTGTATAAAAATCTGTATGAGAGGAACTTCTGGTTGAAAATTTAACATGCATAAGGATCAACTAAAATCTAAAAAATGGTTACATTTTCGTTCTCCAACTGATATTTTTTGAGTTTCCTGTAATATTTAAACTAGAATCAATCATTATTGATTGAAAATCTATGAAATATTGAACCTAGGATCCTGTATGAAAATCTATAAAAGGGGACTTTTTGATATTGCAGATATACATAAATGTATATTGGACTGACTTTACAATAATATTCATTTATATTTACAATAATATTTATTTTATTTCATTAATATGAGGGTAGCGAAGCACGCTGGATATAGCTAGTTCATTATACGTCAAATTCGTTTAAACGAAGTTCGTAATAAGACGGGTGAAGTTTTTGTAGTTCCAAAAATAAAGTGGCATTTTACGAAATTTTAATAATATGGTTTATAAATTTATTTAATATTATTCACAAAAAACACCATTAACTTTATTTTTTCATAACAAATTTCAGTTTTTTTCAACAAAGCCAAATATATTCTTATGATTTCAACACATAATTTTGAAGTTCGTTTTAAAAAAGGAAAATTGTATGAAATTGTACTTGAGGGCCTGAAAAAGTAGTTCGTTTTATACGAGGATTCGTAATAGAGATGTTTTTTGTATGAAAATAGTTACCAAAATAGCGGGATTTGAAAACTTTTTCATAATAACCGAGAATTCGTTATAACCGAGTTTGTTATAAGCGAGTTTGACTGTAATGTGCTAATATAATTTTTCCTCAGAACTGTTCTTACTACGCAAATTAAATAATTACCTTTTTGGTAGAATATATTATTAACAATAATAGTAAATTTAAACGAATTATTTCCTTTTTTGTTTTTGCAAAAATAATACAACTTTCCCACGATAAAATTTCAAATATATAAAATACTTTATTATTTTTTGAAATTAACACCTTAAAGTTTTTTCCACTTTTTTGCTGCAATTTTTATGCAAATCAATGAATTCGCTGTATTTTTTCGCTGCAATTTGTCCCGCCACTGATCCGTATGATCACTTTTTGCGCCAAAAACGTCATCATACCGAGTCTTCATACAACCCGTGCATTTCTTTTGGTATGACGACCTTAGGGTTTCTATGACCTGGTTCACACTGAAAAACTTTTGTTGGGAAACTTTTGATTTTTGTGTGAGAAAGAAAGAGAAAGAAATATCAACCATCTCTTTCTCTCACACACAAAATCAAAAGTTTCTCAACAAAAGTTTTTCAGTGTGAACCAGGTCTTTAACCCTACAAGAAATGTATGACCGAAACTAACACATACAAAATGATTTCACTAACACTCTTGCAACATTTTTTTTATAAAATTGCTAAAAAAAAATAGTTAATGGATAATTCCATCAATAATGACAGTCAAATGACCGGTAAAATGACTGTTAATGTACCCAATGTGTGGTAAAGGGTTTCATTTGCATATGAAAGAGTGAAACAACTACATTTGACTGTACTGTGTTTTAGAGTTATATATTTCGACGTTATAAATTAATTATTTCTGTAAAAGCCAAAGATCATGAAGCGAAAAATCTCAAAATTTACAAAGTCTATAAATTATTGAAAATAAAGAGAATTATTATAAACAGAATTTAAAAATAGTGCAGGAAGTGGAGCTGAAGATAAACACTTCGGAGCTTAATCAATCTATGGTAACATGATTACTTACTTTTAATTTTTATATTTCGATATTTATATGTATTTCTTACAGACAACTTATTTCCACAAATTAAAAGGAGCATCAGCGGATTTAAGATCCTGCGAGGTATGTAAAATGGTGAAATGATTGTTAATTTATGTACATGCTTATTATATTAATAAAATTAACAAATATATATCTTATAATAATAATAAATTGTGTTTTATTATAAATTGGTATAGCCGTCACATTTGACGGATATATTCATCACATATGATTAGTCAACAATGACCGATAAATACATCATTTTTAATTTGTTAACTGTGATGGATATATCCATCAAGCATGATCAGTCAATCCTGACTAATATTTATGTCATCCTTGGTTAGTAAACAACAAAAGAGTGAGGAGCTCAAATATATGTTTTAAAGTCGATAGAATTCATAAGTGCAAGGGAGAAGAAAAATCACATGTACACAAATGTTTCCATCACTTTTGTCCATTTGCCTTAAGAAACTGATAGAAACTTTGCTTTACGCTGTGATAGAAATAATACATCAGTAGTGCCAGTCAAATGACCTATCAAATGACTGTCACTGTTCTTGTAGGGAAGTCTTCATACACTTCATACACTTCATACACGGCATACAAAAATACAACCCTGATAAACCCCAGTGCTACCAAGTTTTTTAACACAAAAAAGCCTTGAAAATCTGGCAACGCTGGCTGAAAACAAGGCGAATATGCCATTTTTCAAAATGTTTTTTTATGTATTAAATGACATTTTGGTTTTAAAAAATGTTGAGAAAATTACAATCGAGTGAAAAAAACACGAGTAGAGCAGTACAAGCCACAAGACAATTGCGAAAGAAACGACGAAAAATCATGTAAATTGCGCATTTATACCCCGACAGAAAAAGAAAATCAATTTCAGAAATAATTGAGGCTAAAAGCATTTACTAAAACACAAATATTCTTTGAGAGCCGCTCAGAAAGTGCGTTGAAAGCCAAAATATATACAACCGAAGGGGGAAATAAGGTGGTGTGAGGTAGGTTTTCAATATTAAAGGCGCTAATCCCTCCACAGGCCCGCAAAATAAGAATCACCAACTGTCCCCCCAAAAAAAGAAATGCATATAAAAATGTATAATTTAAAGAATTTTTAAAATTTCTAAACAGTGTGTTTAAAACGATGATGCAACTAAAAAAATACAACCAAGAAAACGAAAATAAAAGTTAGGAAAAAAGTCAAGAAATATTAAAGTGTGTTGTGTGTGAGTGCGTGAGTGTAAATAATTAAAAACAATATTAAAAAATACGAAAAGAAATGGGCAACTAAAAACTTAAGTATAGAGAAATTCAGACGTACAATAAGAAATAAATGAACCCAACTTAATAATAATTGTTCACGTTAAGAAACTAATAAAAATTTATATTTGCAGTTCTAGGGAAATATTGCAACTTAAACCAATAGACTAGAAACAATTTTGGATAAAATCAATCAAAACTAAAGCATTAAATCCATATGTCAGATTCGGAATACAGTGAAACCTTGGATGTGAATGGCCAAGATGAAAGTGAAGGCAATGCAATACACCTGCAACTATTGCAGCAGCAGCAACTACAGCAACAGCAATATCAACAGCAACAGCAGCAACATCATAACCAACAAAATGTTAGCTATATGACCTATGCCGGTTCGACATCCTCCTCCTCTGGCGAATCTAGTATCTCCACCACGTCTTCCGATGAATCGGATGCAGAGGACTCTGAAGACACTTTGGAATTGGCCAAAATAACCACAGAGGTTTTAAACTTACCGCGCGGTCTGTGTGAAAATGCTGCTATATTCCAAGAGTTTTTCTCCTTGTCCACATGGCAGGAATTACCTTTACCAGTGCAACAACATTTACAACAATTCCTGCCTCGTTTCCAACAACTCTTGCCACCACAAATGGCCGCTGTAGAACAGTCTCGCACGATTTCCATGCTCTTTAATAATGAACTAACACGATTTGGTGCTTCACCTTTAACCAGTCTGCAGCAACAACTAGAAGTTGGCAACTGTAGACCTGATATCATAAAACTACGTCAAAATATTTTGAAATCTCGACGTCGAGAACAAAGATTTCAACATTGTGAACGTTTGTCACATACCGCCAAACACTTGTTTATCTCCCGCCAAAGACTATTGGATACGGCCTATAAATCCTCACCGGATTCGTTCATAAAACCGGCTGCTTTCAAAGGCTCTTTAACGCAAAATAAACAACAGCCTAAACCTTCACATCTGTTCGCCGACAACAAACTGTCGGCCATGCGTGCTCGAAAACGTTTCTATAGTGAAATTTCCCAATTAGCACAACAGTTGGGCTTAAAGGGTGATGTTGTCTTAAGTGCCGATGAGGAGGATGATGATAGCTTGCTGGCGGATGAAATGAAAAAGGAACAGCAATTACAACAGCGTGGTTTGGAAAATGAAAATGAGGCTGTTAAGACCTCCACCTCTTTGGCAGATCGTTGTATTTATAGTACGATCTTTAAGAAACATCAGGATATTGAAGATGAGGAGGCTTGTCGTCTACAGCAGAAATCTAAACAGTCCAAACTGACCAATCGCAACTTTAGAGAGTATTTAAGGGAACATAAGCGCAGGAAAATAACAGAACCGGTGAGTTTAATAAATAATTATGGGTTTTATACGAATCTGCATTTAATTGGCAGTTTCTATTACAAATTAAGATAAAGATGTTTAGTGAGTGTGAGAGAGAGAGAGATTAAGAAATCCCAAACAGATTTCTGTTTAAGATACCTAACTCAAATTGGATTTGTAAGATCCAATATGAAATAAGAACTAATATTCGCAAAAATAATTTTAAACGAACAGTTATTATACATTTTTCGAAGTCTGAAATCCCAACATTTTTACAAAATATTTCATATTTTTCTAAACTTTTCGAAATGTCACAAATTTGATAAATTTTTGGAAAATCGAAAATTTCTTCAAAGATCTTTTTTTTTCGAAAATTCTCAAAAGTGCTAATGGTGAGGGTACTTGAAATCCCAACATTTTTACAAAATATTTCATATTTTTCTAAACTTTTCGAAATGTCACAAATTTGATAAATTTTTGGAAAATCGAAAATTTCTTCAAAGATCTTTTTTTTTTTCGAAAATTCTCAAAAGTGCTAATGGTGAGGGTACTTGATCACAGTTTTTCAAAATTCAATTGTTTATATTAAATTTTTCAAAATTTCCTTATTTGTAGAAAAAAAAAATGGATTTTTTTAATATTTTTTTTTTTTAATTAAAGTTTCTAATCAATATCATTATTCATCTTTTGCAGACTCTTCCCGAATTCGAAACTTCTGATATACGTTTAAGAGATGTTTGTGCTCGTGCCCAAATGGGTGGTAATTTCAAACGTATGTTTGCCTTTGGTAAGACACCGGGACGTAAACCAAAAATAATGCCAACAACTTTAACAGCAACAGCACCGACTCCAGCTACGTTCTCGAACACCACAACATCATTAACAATATTAGCAACAAATGTTACAACTACCACCAACACAACAACTGCAATTACACAACCTATAACTCTCACATCACTACCGCCTCCACCGCTGCCACCACCAAAACTAAGTGAACCTCCCGCATTAGTACCCATACAACCAATGCTTAAAAAACCCGAGACATATCAAATGGCAACAAAATCACCAACAAAGGAATATCATCTTCAGCAGCAACAACATCATACTATAACCCAACAACAACAACATTCCTTGGTTCACACCCATTCTGCTGGTTTAAATAGTAACACCACAAATGACTCTCTAAATATCTCCCAATTAATGTCGGTAACAAATCATGAAGATAATCTTAATTTATGTATGGATGATTCTTCTCTATTAACGGCCGATCACGATGCCTTTAATATGCTTGATAATGAAGTGGAATTACAACAGGAAGAAGTAGAAACATTTGGTGGAACTTGTGAGGAAACTATACCCGCTTTTGTTATAGGCAACGATGTAATTATGCCTTCAGCAAGTGATAACGCTGGCAATGACAAGACCAACAATTCGTTAACATTTAACAAACCCCAGCAACAACCCTCACAGCAAATGGAAACTGTTGTGGTAACACAGCCGGTCCCCAAATTAGAACCCATTTCGCGAACATCTCTTATAACCCCAAAAGTAACTTCAACAGCTTCAACAGCTCCTACTGTTAGTGAATTAATACAGGAGACACATGCTTGTTATTTCTCTTTAATACGCGACTTTTTCTGTTCCACACCCAATCATCGCATGCGTTATGATGACTTGCGTCATAAAATTGATGTTTGGCTGCGTAATCCCATTACCGCTTTAAATGAATGGTATTCTTTGGCCGACAACTGGTCTAATCTTTTAAAGTCGGCTATTAACTTTCTAGTGGGTGAATTTCCCGATCTACCAGATGAATATGTACCCTATATAGAGCACAAGGTGCAGTTAAACATCTACCAATGGATAGGAGCTGGACGTGACTCAGATAATAGACTTACTGAACTGTGTACTCTATGGATGGAGAAACGTAAACAACCCAGCGATAGACAGACAAACAATTTAACACAAACAGAATTGAAATTAGAAATTTGTCCTCGAAGTTCTGTGGAAAATGATGATTCAGGCGAGGCAGGCAGTGATAATGGAGGAGGCTTAACACCGCCCCCACCACCACCCAGATGTCCCACCAATTGGGCGGTAAGAGCAGCTACTTTAGAGGAAATTGCAGAATTTCAAAGGCAGGAACGAGAGAGATTCGAACAACCCCATAAAGCCTACACTTATCGCATGTATGGCTATGAAAGTGTAGTAGGTCCGGTCAAGGGGATCTACACACCCTTATTGGCACTCAGTAAGGCACGTGGTCATAGTATGATGGTAGGTGATCGTCCTAACTTTGTTACGATTTTAACTTTGGTAAGAGATGCTACTGCTCGTTTACCTAATGGTGAGGGTACTCGAGCAGAAATATCCGAGCTGCTTAAATGTTCACAATACATCAATCGTGATGCTTCCGAGAATGTTTTACAAACTATTGTAAGTGGAGCTTTGGATCGCATGCACACCGAACATGATCCCTGTGTACGCTACGATCCTAAACGTAAAATATGGATTTATTTGCATCGTAATCGTTCGGAAGAAGAATTTGAGCGCATACATCAAGAAAATCAAACTATAGGCAAAACAAAAAAGTTGCCTCAAAGAAAACCCAAACCTTTAAGCCATACTTCAGCACCTGGCGGTACCGGCAAACCGTCTACTATGTTAGATAATGATAATTTTAACTTGGTTAACAGCTCAGAGACCAGCAATGTTAGCAGTAAGGTTACTGGTTCCTTAATAACCATGCCAGCATTAGTACCCTCAAATCCCATTATTGTCAGCAATAATAGTGTAGTGCAACGGCAGCAACAGGTTTTGCAACAGCAATTAATAAACAGTAACAAATGTCCACCGGTTCCTCCCTTAAAATATAATATACCGCTGGCTTCATCAGCAAATAGTACACAACAGCAACAACAGCAGAAATCCTTATTAAAAACCACCATAAGAACAGACAATAAAGCTTTAAATACCAGCAATAATAACAGCTCGAGTAGCAACAGCAGCAGTAATATACTCAAACAGCACAGTTTTCAAATGCCACCAAATAAAAATCATCCTAATCATAATACCACCCCCATAATAGTGGCCACACCGCAAGGTTTGCAAACTGTTCATGTATCAAATGCCACTTCGGTTATGCCGGCTCAAAACACCAACAACCAGACATCACAACAGCTAACTAACACTGCTCAACAGCAACAACAACAACAACATAACACTAATCTAACCGCCAATTTAGCCGGCAAACGTGTTACTCTTAATAAACCCATCATTATAAATCAAGTAACAACATCATCCACATCCTCCTCGCCCTCAACAAACTCCTCTCCTGCCAACACAATTAAAAAATCTCCGCAACAACTTATACAGAAAACACAATTAATACAAAATCGGATAACACTACAAACAAATCAACATCAAATTTTAACCCAGCAACAGCAACAATCGAATCTTATTATACCGCTATCAATGGCCAACAATATGTCACTTAATGTTCAATCAACATCTAATGTTACAGAACCTTCTCATCCTCCTACTACTTCTCAAACTGTTGCTAGCAACCCAGCGTCTGCTTCACTAAGTAACAAACAAAATATTATACGTTTAGTTCCTACTTCAAATGTCAAAACACTTATGTCGGCACAATCACCAACTACCCAAATTGTTAATAGACAAAGAATTGTTTCTACACCAACAACAGAACGTCCAACTACCCCACAACATCAACAGCAGCAGCAACAAAAATCTCATTCTAACACCAGTGGCTTTCAATTACTATCGAATACTGGCAATGTGATTACTGTTAGTGGTACGGTTACAAATCCAGCTGGTTCTATTGTAAAAATGTCACCGCAACAATTTGCTGCTCTACAGCAAAAACAAGGTCAACAGCAGCAACATATTATTGTTAAGCACTCGGGCGTTACGAAAACTCAAACAGCTGTGGCGACGGGCACTAAACCTCAAAGAGTTATTTTGGGTAAGTTGAAACATTCGAGTAAATTTCTATAATAGTTTTATAGTTTTATTAAGCGTTTTCTCTCTAAATAGTTTCAGCAACATTTTTTCTCAAAAACCTAACTTTTTTTTTGTTAAAAAAGTTTCTTCAACATTTTTCTATAAAAATATGTTTCACAAAAATATTTCTGTAAAATATTTCTAAAAAAACCCTTCAATTTTTTAGGCAACACTTCTATTGTGGGTCAAACGGGTCAAGGCAAAAGTATTGTCCTGCAACAAATACCAGTGGCTTCATCTTCAGTTGTGGTAACACCCTCCCAAGCGACTACCGTTTCTTCGGCTACAACAACCATAAGCGGCAATAAAATACAAACTATAAATGCTAAAAATTTGACACCACAACAACAACGTATACTAATACAAAATCTGAAAAAACAACAGCAGCAGCAACAGCAAACTATAAATCCAAATCAAATACAGTTTAAAACAGTACAAGTTGTGGGAAATACTTCAGCTAACCAGACAAACATGACCGGTAGAGTTCAAACGGTTGCTCAACACAATAATCCCAAAACTTCAGTTGTGGTAGTCTCACAGGATAATGCAACCGTGCAACAGCAAAATATAACTAGAATTCTCAAAACCACCAGCCCACAATTAAAGTCCGACATAACTGGAGCTGGTACCCGCGTTATAACTAGTTCTAGTGGACAAATAATATCTCTAGATAATTTAATACAAAAACAAGGAGGAACATTACGTATAACTGGCACCGCCAATAACACACAAACTATCAAAACTAATCAACAACACTTAACTGCAAATGTGTTGCAAAAATCTCAACAGCAACAAGTGAAGCAAACCCAACAATATGCTATTGTTTCTGTACCGAATAGTATTATATCCTTGGGCAGCAATTCTAATTTTACTGTGGGCCAAAGAATTATCACAACACAAGCAGGTTCTAGCAATACCAGCACTTTGGTAAATCTAGACTCTACGAAAGTAACACCATCTGTTGTATCAACAGGCACAGGTCGTGTTATAACTGCAACAGCCGCTGGTACTAAAATTATTACAAAACAAACACCCGCCACCTCAAATGCAGCTGGAAATATACGTCTTATTAATACAGTCAATCAAACGGCCAACATTAATTTGGCCACTTTACAAGGTAAACAAGTGGTCTTAACAACTGGCAAGACATTGAATACTATTAGCAAGACTCAGTCACAGCAGCAGCAAAATGTGGTTCAAACCCAGCAGGGCAGCATTGTTATTGGTGGGCAAACGGTTAAATTGCAGCAAGGAAATGTAAGTAAAGATGATATGATAAGATAGATAGATGGATAGATAGATGGATAGATAGATAGATAGATAGATAGATAGATAGATAGATAGATAGATAGATAGATAGATAGATAGATAGATAGATAGATAGATAGATAGATAGATAGATAGATAGATAGATAGATAGAAAATTGTTTAAATTAAAGGACAACAGAGTTTTGCAACAAAATTGTTTATGTATTATTATCATTATATCACAAAACTTAAATAAATTTATAAGGATCCGATTTTTTCACAAAAAATATTCATTTGATTTTTTACTCCCCTTCAGACAAACATACAACAACTGCTGCAGAAAAGTGGCGGCAGTATAATTACCAGCCAAAATTCTTCAACAAATCTTACAGCAACAACAACAACACCACATTTACAAACCGTCATAATGGGTAATCAAATCTTAAGGGTACAACAATTACCACAAATTGTCTCGACAGCAAATCGTATAAATGTATCGAATGCAAAAACTCTAAGCAATAACATGGATAACAGTTTAACGACCACAAACTCCAAAACGCCAAAAACAATATTTGTCGGTTCGACAGGACAAACATTAAGACTACAGCCAGCCTCCTCACAAACACAAAACATAACAAATAAAAACATAATTGTACAAACGCAGCAACAGGTAAGAAAATTATTTAAACAAACAATAAAACAAAATAATTTTAACAACTTTTTTTCCAAACTAATTACAAGAATCCAACAAATAAAACTGCAGCCACCAGTAGTGGTAATGCAACCACACCGAATCGCGTCGTTTTAGCCGTACAAGGTGGTGGTCAAATATTTTTATCGCCTAATTTTCAAGGTGGTAATATTAATCTTAAGTCGTTGCAAAATATGAAGGTGGTATCATTGGCTCAACATCCCACCGCAAAACTTAAAGATTCTTCAACTGCAACCAATACTTCATCGTCATCATTAGCATCATCGTCGTCAGCATCAACGTTGACAGCTCAACCTACACAGAACATATTAAAAACTACATCCACACCCTCTACTAGTGATACAAATGTTTAAACATTTAACTTTTAGTAAACAAAAAAAAAAAAAAAAAAACAACTCTTTTTATAATGTAAACCAATCATACCCATTTGAACGTCGTTTTTTTCTTTTACTTAGTTTATAAATCTACGCCAAGCGTAGCAATATTTCATTTTTATTTTAACCAACCTAAAATTATTTTTTGTACATAAAAACCAATCAACCAACAAAACACACATTTATACATTTTATAGTTTTAGATAATGTAATTTATAATACAATATACATAATAGGGTATAATAATATAAATAAATATTATTATAAAATTATACTATTATATTAGAAACCAGCAATTATTCCCCATACTCCCCACTTCTCCTCCCTACCTTTCTCTTTGTTGTATTTCTTTTACCAATTTCTTTATTTACTTAAGCGTTAATTATACAAAACACATTTTGTACGAAATTTAATTTATATTAATTAATGTCTAACATACACACACACTTTTCTCTTTTCATACATATGTACACTACTTGAGTTAGTAATAAAAGAGTTTATTTTTTTAATTATAAATAATTAGCTTAAAAAAAACTTAAATAAAAAAAATCTTGAATATAACAGCTTTTAGAAATTTATATATTAGAAATAAATGGAAGTTTTTATTGATATTTTTCTTTTTTTTCGGAACAAAATTCAGACTTTAGTAAGAAACTTTGAATTTGAAAAGACGCCAGAACTAGATAGATAGATAGATGATAGATAGATAGATAGATAGATAGATAGATAGATAGATAGATAGATAGATAGATAGATAGATAGATAGATAGATAGATACAAACATACATACAATAGATAGATATATATGTATGTGTATACATATGTAGAAGGATAAGTAGACAAACTTCAGACTCTTGAATAACAAACTTGGAACTTAAAAAGACGCCAGAACTAGTCCTCCCTAGAACTAGATAGATAGATACATACATATATGGATAATTATAAAGGCCTGCACAAGACAACAATAATGCGACAATTTAAAAAAAAAAATATCATGTGCGCCATCATAAGCACACGAAATTTTTTAGCAAATTGTCGCATTATTGTTGTCTTGTGCACTAGATTATTATTAGATTGTCTATTAGAAAGATAGATAGATAGATAGATAGATAGATAGATAGATAGATAAAAAGATAGATAGATGAAAGGTTGGATATATAAATAAACTTCTTGAATAACAAACTTGTAAAGACGACAAAACTAGAAATTATTTCGAAATCAAATTGAATAATAGATAAATACGAATTTTCTTCAAATTCAAGAAAATGTTGAAATTTTTTAAATTTCTATATTTTTCATCAAAGAGTTTAAAAATCTCATTGCAATATGTTTCCAATATTGCAGAAAATTTAATTTTTATTGAAATCAGTTCTCATAACAATTCTGTAAATTCACAATTATTCGATTACTTTTGAAAAATATCAAAAAAACAGGCAACACTATTTTACACTCTGTGTTTAGTATTCACAAAAAACAACTGATTCAATTGCAACTCTGTATGAAAACTCAACACAGTTTAACTCTCTATACCTGAAACAGTTTTTTCGTACACTTTTTTAGCGGCGTTTCTTTTGGCTGAGGAGAAAAAAACATAATTTGCAAAACTTTTTCACACTATTTACAATATAAAAAATGTTTAAACAATAAAGAGAATAATGGAATTTTGTTAACAACTCAATATTTCTAAAGAAATGTAAGTGGAAACGAGTTGAAAAAGTGAACTTTCCGATAAAAAGTTCAGCAAAGTTGAGAAAGAAAAAAACGAAACGACAATTATACTTGAGAATTGAAGTGAAGCTGCAGCGAGCAGAAAAAAAAGAGAAAAAAGTAAAATAAGGAAAAAAATTGGAAAACTTAAGAAATCTATGAAAAAAGTAAGTAGTTTCACAAAAAGATTAGTTTTCTAAAATAAAAAAAAAATCTTTTGCAATTTTATGTGTGTTAGTGTTAAAGCAAACACGCTGAGACATGTTTAAGTTTGTTTTAACATTAAATTTGCATGCACTCTACGAAAGATAATGTATAGAAAGAAACGGAAAATTGCTTACCCAACAAACATTTGTTTATCTTTTTTCAGATTTTCTCCTTTTAAAACTTATAGAGTGTGGACGGCATTAAAAAATTACCATATAAATGGGCAAAGAAACATCCACCAACGATTTGGTCTGTCATAATACAAATGATGCTAAGAAAACTATTGAGGAAAACAAGGAAAACTCTTTAAAAGATAAAAATTCCATACAAAACGATAACACCACAACAACAACAGCAGCAAATAAAGGTAGCAAATTGAATACAAATAAAACTGAGGAAGAGGTATTGGAGGATGAAAACAGTAACGACAGCAGCACAAGTAACGACACAAAAGCCACCACCAGCTCAACTAACAATTCCTCCAGTACCTCAACATCTAAGGAGACTACAAAGAGTAAAACTTCATCATTAGCTACGGACCAGTCAGCAGCTAATAAAGAGCAGAATACAGAAGAAAAATCCGATAAGCCAGAAGAACCACAATTCCGCGTTGCCTCCAATAATAATACGGGTTTTAAATTACGTATAGTACCTTTAGAGAAATTACTCGAAAAGCCTAGAGAAAAAGAAGTAACTAAGGAAAAGAAACGCTCTAATTCACCTGAGCTAAAGAAAAGATTGGAAAAAACTGAAAGATCTACAAGATCCGCAAAACCTCCGTCAGATAAAGCAGTTAGACGTTTACCCGAACGATCTCGCAAACCTGTATCTTTTGTGGAAATCTCTGAAAGTGAATCGGAGGAACTAGATTCCGTTAAAGAAGGCAAAAGTGAGTCGGATTCCTCAGAAGAAGAGATACGGCCGCCTGTTAAAAGAGCAGCTAAAAAAGAAACTGCTGTTAAACGACAAACCTTAGCCCGCCCACCATCTCCTTCCAGCGTTAGACGTTGTGTAGTGAAACTAAAACGTTGCACATTAGCCGATTTTAAGAATCTTAAATCCAAACACAACAAAAAAGCTAAAATGAATGGTGGTACCGAGAAGCCTTCGACTTCGGCTGCACGACGAAAACGTATTTCATCTGACAATGATGATTCCGATTTTGAAATGAAACAAAGCGATTCTGATGAACGCATTTCCGGCGCAGAGGATAATGCCGAGGAGCCCGACAGCCAAAGGGACAGTAGCGATAGTGAGGTAATACCTACACGCAAAAGACGTGTATTCCAAAAAGGTAAAAATTCCGATAATTCCGATGAGGATTTCGAACCTGACAACAAGAAATCTAAAAAGAAACGACGACGAATTCGTAAAAATTCCAGCGATGAGTCGGATGATGATGACGATGATGATGAAGATGGAAAAAAGGACAAAGGCAAACGTAAAGACATACGTAAAATTATAAAAACTTCCGAACTTAATATAAGCACCAAAACCGCCACCAAGGAAGAGGAAGAACGTCGCAAACGTATCGAGGAACGTCAAAAACTGTATAATCAAATCTATGAGAAACCCGAAAGTGTGGAGGTAACCGAATTGGTTTTAGATTTTGACCCCGAATCCAAGAAGACTTTACTAGAGGTGGACAAGGGTCTAATGAAAAAACTTAAACCCCATCAGGTAACAGGTGTAAAATTTATGTGGGATGCTTGTTTTGAGACTATAGAAGATGCTCAAGAGAAACCCGGTTCGGGTTGTATTTTGGCCCATTGCATGGGTCTGGGTAAAACTTGTCAAATTGTCACTTTATCTCACACTTTACTGGCGAATTCCAATAAAACCAATGTCGAGCGTGTACTCATCATTTCCCCCCTGAGTACTCTCAATAATTGGGCTCGTGAATTTAAATATTGGATGGGTTTTACCCGTAAACGCAACATTGAAATTTACGACATGTCCAAGTATAAAGATAAAAATACAAGAATTTTCAAATTAAATGAATGGTTCGAAGAGGGCGGTGTCTGCATTATGGGTTACGATATGTATCGTATATTAACCAATGAAAAGGCCAAGGGTTTGCGTAAAAAACAACGTGAACAATTACAACAGTCGCTGGTTGAACCGGGTCCCGATCTAGTGGTCTGTGATGAAGGTCATTTGCTAAAGAATGAAAAGACTTCGATTAGTAAAGCTGTTACACGTATGCGCACTATGCGACGTATTGTATTGACCGGTACTCCACTGCAAAATAATCTCAAGGAATGTATGTAAAAGCGATTTATTTTATTTTTCTATTTTTCTCAACTGTTTATCGTTTTATTTTCAGACTATTGTATGATTCAATTTATCAAACCCAATCTCTTGGGTACTTACAAGGAATATCTCAACCGTTTCGTTAACCCCATAATGAATGGTCAATATACAGACTCCACAGAACGTGATATACGTTTAATGAAACATCGTTCTCATATCTTGCATCAACTGTTGCAGGGTTGTATACAACGACGAGATTATTCGGTGCTGGCACCGTATCTACCACCAAAACATGAATATGTCGTCTACACCACTTTGTCTACACTGCAACAACTATTGTATGAACACTATATGACACACCAACGTGATATTGGCAGTTCCATATCCGAGGGTAAAGGAGCTCGTCTTTTCCAAGATTTTCAAGAATTAAGACGCATATGGACACATCCCATGAATATGCGCATTAACAGTGATTCAGTTATTCGCAAAAAAGTATTAGCTAATGATAATGATTCATTGGACGATTTCATTGACGACAATGATGATGACGAAGAAGAAGCAGCTGGTGGTGGTGGTTCTTCCTCAGACACTTCAGTAGATTCGTCAAAATCATTTGGTAGTGGTGGTGGTGGTGGAGGAGTTGGTGCCGGAGCCTCATCAAAGTCTCGCAAGACTAGAAATTATCGTCGCAATAATGCTGGCGATGAAAATGATAGTGATATAGAGGAAGTGGCACCGACACAGCAAGATGATCCCTCTGAATGGTGGAAACGTTTTGTGGCCGATAGAGAACTCAATAATATCAATCATTCCCCCAAATTGGTTATACTAATGAAACTATTGCAGCAATGTGAGCAAATTGGCGATAAACTATTGGTTTTCTCACAATCGCTGCAGAGTTTGGACACAATTGAACATTTTCTATCGTTGATTGATAGTAAAACTCGAGGTTATGAATATGAAGGTGAGTTACGAACTATATTATCAGTTTTTGATTAAAATTCTTAATAGAAAAGTTTTTGATTACAGAAAAATTTTGAATAGAAAAATTTCAATATTAACCAATTTTTTACAGAAAATTTTCAATATTACAGATTTTTTTATAGGAAATAGAAAATTTGCTATATTGAAACAGTTTTTATAGAAAATCTTTGTGTATTTTAAAAATTTTTTTAAGATCTTTGGTTGATTGAAATTGAAATTCTTATTTTTAACATTCTATTTGCAGGTGATGTCGGCGAGTTCACTGGCTTTTGGAGTTCCGGTACAGATTACTTCCGTTTAGACGGCTCGTGTTCGGTGGAGCAACGTGAATCCATGTGCAAGAAATTCAATGATCCTACTAACTTAAGAGCTCGTTTATTTCTAATTTCGACACGAGCCGGCGGTTTGGGCATAAATTTAGTTTCTGCCAATCGTGTAGTTATATTCGATGTCTCCTGGAATCCTTCCCACGACACCCAAAGTATTTTCCGTGTTTATCGTTTTGGCCAAGTGAAACCTTGCTACATATATCGTCTCATTGCAATGGGCACCATGGAACAGAAGTTATACGAACGTCAAGTGGCTAAACAGGCTACAGCCAAGCGGGTTATTGATGAACAGCAAATATCACGTCATTATAATCAATCGGATTTACAGGAACTCTACACATATGAATTGGAACCTAGTGTGCCACGAGAAATACCACTTTTGCCCAAGGATCGTTTGTTTGCCGAACTATTGTCGGAACATGAAAAATTGCTGTTCAAATATCACGAACATGACTCTTTGCTCGAAAACGAAGAAAGTGAAAATCTTAGCGAATCGGAACGTAAAGAGGCCTGGTCTGAATTCGAAGCTGAGAAGACGCGTACCGTACAGACCGCACAGTTTATGTCTTATGATCGTAGCGCTTATGGCGGCCAATATGGCAATGCCTCGGGTAGTGTTACTTCCAATAAAATATTCGGTTTTCGTTCGGATGTACTACTACAATTGCTTAACATGAAAATTGCTAAGGATCATCCTGAAATGACACAAAATCAAGTTATACAAGTAGTACCAACATATTTGAATACATTGTACAGCCAAATGAACAGTGGGGATCCTACTATGTATAAGGATCTTTTGTCATTGCATGCCACTCTGGCCCATCCGAGTGGCATGTACATGAATCCGTTATTATATGTTAATCAAAATCCACAGGCGGCTGGCTATTTTCAGGGTCAGACAGCCAATGGAGTTGTGGGTGGTAGTGGTGTTGGTGCTGGTCCTGGTGTGGGTGGTGTACAAATTGTTCCCAATCCAGCGGCTCAAGCTATGGGTGCTGCCCCGCCAAGACCAGCACCTGGTTTCGATCCGAATGAGGTTTACGAAATTGATTAAGTTTATAAATAATGTTGTAATCTTTACTTACACAACATTTAATTTCCTCGACCCACTATATCGTATATATACACACACACATAAACATACATATATAATTTGTAGACTAGGAGACTTTATAATTATTATTTTTTACGATAATTTAGCCCATTCTTTGTTTAATACATTACTGTTTTAAACCTCCAGCCCAAAACAATATATTACGATTTTCAAAGATTTTCCCCTCTTCTGTTTCATTTCTTTGTGTTAAATTTTATCTTTTTAGTTTTTCCTCCTTCCCCGTTTTGCTAAAAAGAAGTTTTAGAAAGTTTATATTTTTGTAAATTATTCTTTAAACTATTGATTGATCTCCCCCAAAACATAGTTTTAAAATTTATTTAAAATTCAATTAAAACAAACAACCTTATCTCTTCTTACTCCTAAAACCTTTTCCCTTTACACATTTTTGTACTTTCATTTCCAATTTGATAAGTTGATTTAGACGCTATTTAACAAAAAAAAAAAACATTATTTTTTATTTTTATATACAATTATTTTGTTTGTTAAAGAGAGCAGAGATTAAAACTCTTTAAATCAAATTTAAGTTAATTACTGTTTATTGAAGCTAAATATACATAATTTTTAATTTAATTTTAATTTAACAAAATACACACAACCAACCCCCTACACTTTATTAATAATAATTAATGAATATTACTTTACTTTAATATAACTTTTAACTTATACAAAAAAACATTAAATACAAAAAAGGATATTTAAAAAATCTTTGGTTTAGTTCCCTATTTAATAAGTTTAATAAAAAATAAATAAAAACAACAACAAAAACATAAAATGAAAAATCTTATAAAATAAAACTAATAATCCCTCAAAACACACACTCCTCTATATCAGTAAAGAAAAAACACACAATTTAAAAATATTTTTAAACTTATAAATTAATTATAAACAAACAAAAAATAAATAATTAATAAAAAACACACACACAATAAAAAACTCCCCATATAAAACAAACACCAGGTTAATTAGTAATAAAAATTATACAAAAAATAATATAATGATGATATTGGTGTTGAAATTTATTAATGGATTTCTTAATTCATGTGAAGACAGTGTAAGGAGTAAATTTTTAAAAACTAAGTATCAAGAGAAAACGATTTTAACTAAGAAACAAAATTTTCACTAAAAATTCGATTTAGACCAAAAAACATGAATTGTCTATAGAAAATTCTATAATATTAAAAGTTTTCTATAAAAAATATTAAAATTGAAATTATTGAAAATTTTCTTTAACAATTCTTCAAATTTCTATAAAAAAAATTCAATATTGAAAATTTTCTGTAAAAAAATTAATATTGAAAAATTAATCAATATTAAAAAGTTTATATAAAAGTTATTAAAAATTGAAATTTCATATAAAAATTATTAAAAATTGAAATTTTCTATATATTTTTTTTTTTAATTTGGCAAATTTCTATAAAAGTTATTCAATATTCTACATTTTTTATAAAAAAAAATACTTCAATTTTGAAGTTTTCTATAATAGTAAATAGTATCTCCTTTTTATTAAGTTTTTAATTTTTCACAAAAATTTTAACTTTTTAGGATTTTCAAACAAATTCTATTAAAAGGGATTTAAGTTTTAATACTCAACTATTAAAAAATCATACTTTCGACTTTCTTTACAAATTTTAGTAAACGACTTTTGAAATTTTTTCATCTAACTGGCAACTATAAAAATACAAGAAGTATTTTTTAGTCTGGCAGCCCTAATTAACAATTGTTTTGTTTTTTGTTTGCGAAAAATCGCAGAATTGATAAAAATGTCCACATCTTCCAATGGCAACCTAATGGATGAATTTGAAGAGGCTTTTCAAAATTGCCTGCTTTCACTCACCAAGCTAGAGACGAATACTGGCACCAATAAGGAAGAAGTCGAATTGGAAGTGCAAAAAACTACGAACCGTTTTATAGATGTGGCCCGGCAAATGGAAGCATTCTTTTTGCAAAAACGTTTCTTGGTATCAACTCTAAAACCCGATCAACTAATCAAGGATGAAAATCAAGATCTACGCATAGAAATTTCACGTAAAGAAGCTTTACTCAACAAACATTATAGTCGTCTGGAGGAGTGGAAAGCCTGTCTTTCGGATATACAACAAAATCCTGCTATACTTAATAGGCCAGTGGGTGGTCTGCCAGCAGGTTTGGGTGAGGCCGGTGGCAGCATGATTGGACCATCTGGATCTGCGGGACCTATGGGAGTGGGTGCCATGGCTGCTATGGGAGGACCACCGGGCCGAGGTGGTATGATGCCTAATGTTCCTGGTGCTATGGGTCCCATGTCACAAACGGGTGCGGCGGGGCAGCAGCAACAACATTTACAAAATCAAAAAATGTTACAGGCTCAACAAATGCAACAGTTGCGCATGATGGGCAAATTACTAAAGTAGTGATCATGTTTTTTGGAAATTATTTCAGTTTTATTTTTAAGCAGTAATTTTCTTATGGGATTATGTGGCGTATTAAATGAAGTAATTTGATATTCAGGAAGTTTTTAGTGGAAATTTTAGAAATACATACTATAAGAAGAAAATAAAAATTGTTTGATTTATAATTTAATGGATTTATTCTTTGTTTAATGGGTTCAATACTTTAGAAACATGTTTTTTTAAATATTTATACAAGATGTGGACTTATTTTCATTCAAATGACATTTAGACAGATATGAACATAATCCCATGCTAAAGACGTTTTTCCACTCAATTAAGTTGCACCATTTAAATAATAAGGCAAAAGAAGCTTAAATCTGCATTAAGTTTAATTTTTAATGTTTTATTTATATTAATATTAAATATGTTTACTAAGAAATACATTAAAGTGAATATTATTTATAATATTCTTATGAAAAATGTATGTCTTTGTTAAACTACGCGTAAGAAACTTAAAAGAAAATCCTTAAAATATAAAAATATTAGAACAAAATACATTATTTATTTATGTATGTAAGTGTTACGACTGAAGAATGTGTTGTGCTGATGAAGACGTTGATTAATATACATTACAAATATATGTACATAGTGGAATACTAGTAATATGATGGCCGTTTTAAACTGGAGCATTTTTGTGTTTTTTAACATGACGATTAAGACTAAATTTTAAATCAAAAGATTTTCCACATAAATTACATTTAAATTGGGATTTAGTGGGTGTAGTTTTTGGTGATTGTTGTTGTTCGGTGGCCAAATGCTGATCATAATGTTGACGCAATTGTTCAATGGTGGCAAAAGTTTCAGAACATTTAGCACAAGCAAATGTGTTAAAACTATTCTCAATATGAGCAGGAGGAACATTAGCCAAAGTTTCTTCTGCGGAATTTGTAGCATGTTCATCGTTATTCTCTTCCTGCTCTTCCTCGTCCGTTGTTGTGTTATTTAAAGCTGATTCTGTATGATATTCTTCAGGTGTTTCAGTATCTGTTTCTTGTGGGGTTCCTTCATCGTGATCCATGGGTTCAGTTTGTGTAACGAAGGAAGTGTTAGTATTTTGAGTATCGTGTATATCAGTATCATTGTCATAATCTTCAAAAACTGTTATATTTGTGTGGTCAACATCATGATCTTGTTCTGGTGCAGACATTGCAACAGTATTATTTAAAATTGACTCCTCATTGTGACTCTCAGTTTCTGTTATAGTGGCTGTCATGTGAGTTGTAACACGATGTTCTTCATTGACATGTGTTTCCAAATCAATTTGTTCCACAAAACCCTGATCACAATGGGCACAAAGAAATTTATAATTGATTATATTTTCTTCTGGTTCTTGACACATTTGTTCTCCTTCCTGCTGTTCCCCATATATAATATTATGACTTGTTTCCTGTGCGCTATGTGCATATGAGGTTTGTATGGTGGTCGGTGAGTTGGTTACGTGATTGTCATCTTCATTTGCATGTATTTGCCAAATATGATTTTCTCTTTCGTCCTCGGTGGTGAAAACTGAAAAGGGAAAAATTAAGTACGAGTAAGGAATAAAATTCGAGTTTTTTTAATTGTAATGAATTTTTAAGAACATAGAACATTTGTTAGACACCTAGCAGAATGTATATATTTTCGGAACGCCCTACAGATTCCTAGTCATTTGTAAACATTGTCTATTTAACTCTCAAATTTGAAAATTTAAAACGTTTATAATTACCTTTTGAACAGTATTCACAGGAATATTTCGTTAGCAGCTCATGTTGACGTAAATGTGATTTCATCTTCCTTGCCAAAACTCCTGCAAAAATAGTGTTTAGTTAAAAATAAAAAATAAATTAAACTCTTTTCAGGGCACTCGCCTTTTCCACATATTTTACAATTAATTTTGCCATGATTTGCACGTTTGTGTTCCCTTAAAGCATCTTTGGAACTGCACACAAAACCACACAATGTACACTTGACATGTTTATTGAGTGTATGCCATTTCATGTGGAATTTGAGACGTGCCGGGGTAGAATTTTTAAATTGCTTGCCGCAAATATGACAATCCATATCCCTGATTTCATGAGCACGTTGCATGTGCTGTTTATGTTCTTCCTGGTCGGGGGAAAGATGCTGGCATAGTTTGCATTCAACTTGTTGCTGTGCGGTAGGACTTGGCTCAGATACACTTTTATTTTGTAACACTAGCTGTGCTATCTGAGAGGATGAAGGCAATGTTTGTGACACTACTTCAGTGGCAGATTCTACTATATTTGTGGACTGTTGTGTTACTTCCGCCGGTATGGTAGCTGCCTCTATAACTTCTTCTTTAATGGGCACATGAGGTATGTTAAAGGGCGTTGCACCGTCATATTCCGTGTCACTCAAATCATCAACATATATAAAATCGCAAATAGTTTGCTCTTCATTCGTCTCATCCGGCAATTCGGTTTTGATTTTAACATTGGCGAGATTACCATTTGGTACATTGTAAAATTTGCGAAATTCATTTTGAGCATTAATGCAAGCGGCTCGCAATTCGAACACTTGCTCAAATTTGTGTATACAAGTATTACAGACAAACTGGGGATAACCATCGTTTTCAGCCACCTAAAAAATTAAAACTTACAAATTACACTCATCTTATAATATAAAAATAACCCCTAAACTTACCTCAATATTCCACTGTGCCAATTCTAAACGTATTAACATGATTTCTGAATGTTCCAGGGGTGACTCAAAAAGATGCTTGAGCTGCTGTTTGCTTGGTGTTACATAGTGTATGCCACAAGTACGGCAGGCCTTAATGTTTTCCAGAAATTCCGTATCTGTATCCATCTCTAATGGATTTTTTTATCTTTTCTAACAATTTATAATTAAATTTATTAAGTTTCCTTTTGAATTTGTTTTAAAAAATGTGTTTGCAGCAAGCCGTTTTTAGCGTTTTTTCTTAAGTATTCATCAGAAAACTACAAAGTAGTGTTGCCCTCACTTGTTCTAGCGTTTGTTTTTACAAATCAATATCAAGTATTGCCAGACTTTAAAAATCGTTTACACCTACATATTGCTCTCTTTGAGCTGTCAAACGTTTAGTTTGTGTTTTTTTATATGTCGGTCAAGTGGTTTTTGTTTGGTGATGAATTTTAATAAAATGTTAACAAAAATATTGTTTAAAATAGTGTAATTATATTAAATATATGTAAGGTAAGTGTTTGATATAATATATATTATTAAAACAAATTATTTCCCATTTAAATATAAAAACAAATTTGTTTGCTTCAACAATCCAAAAAATTTGCAAAGAATTGGTGTTTAAAAAGAAAATGCAAAAAAGCGTCTATAAACAAAAAACACATGACTTTGTTTATATCTGTATTTTTCTTTTAATTTCTAATTCGTTACAAAACATAAATGTTTTAAGAATTGTTTGTTATTAAAAACGTTGAAAAACGAAAATAATTAATTAGATCGAAAAATTTTTTTACAAATAAAAATAAGTTTTAATTTTGTCAAGAAAATGTTATGCGTAATTGGCCCATTAAAAAAACAATTTTAAAACACATTTGTTATTCTAATAAAAACCATGTCTAAATCGATGCCCACTTGATCCGAGCATCTATGGAAGGTCCACGGGGTAATATTGTTATGCTCATTTGTTTATCTTATTAGAATCCTCCTCATTCGTAAATTGCTTAGTTCAGATGTTGAAAATGTTAACGAGAGACAAAGCAAAAACAAAAAACATATGGTTTTGTTTACATTTGTGTGTTTCTTTCGTTTTGTAATTCGTAACAAAATAAACATTAAAAGCGAATCTATACGAAATAAAGTCAGTGTCGAATATGTTTAATTTTTTTATATGTATCACGCCATTTACACGATGATTTTTCGCATGTTTGTCCAGACGTCTGTTCAAGTTTGGCGCATTTTACATGTAGACTTTTCAGACGTCTTTTTTTTCCAATTCTCTTCTTGTTTGTTTGTATTTTAAGTTTGCTTAGCTACTCCTGCAGCAAAGACTATCTTGGCCCGATAGTCCAATTTATAAAATTTACAAAATTGAGTTTTATTTTGTTCTCCGATTTATTTTAAGTAAATAAACAAATTGTTTAATAGTAAAACCCATGGCATAAACTTTGAAAGTTAGAAAATATTAAACAAAATAATCAGCTGCCTTATTGACTTCACCTGTAAATTAATACATCTTGGTGAAACCTATAAGTTGTTATGATAGTTGACAATATCGTATATAAAAGTCGATAAATTAATATTTAAATGTTTTTGTAGATAGCGCCTTTTTTTCGTGAATAAATTCGCTAATTTAGGTCGGAGGAGTCCAATTTCTTCTGTAGAAATTTGTTTTGATGCAATACATTATAATCAACAATAAAATCGATTTTGAATTTTTGGTAAGTTAGGGCCGTTTGCGTTTCAGGTGACGATACATACAATGAATTCGCTCTGTTGGCTTAATTCGCCGACGAAACGACCCTTCAGACGATCACACTTTACGTACGACAAGTCTAATGAAAAAGTAAATTGGAATGGAAAAATGAAATAAACATGGAACATTTTGTTGTTGCCGAACAGTCACCACCTTATGTGAATTCGCCTTTAATGACTTGTATCCAAATCTTATAGATTATAAGGTGAAGTCCAATGCAAATTCATGGTAGAAGTTCAGCAACAACAACATTTTACATGTATTTTGTGTTTTCATGAAAAAATATATACCGAATGTTGCTAAAGGGCCCTTCAGACGAACGAAGTAAGATGGAACATCTGTTTCACTTTTTTTCTATGTGTTTACATAAAAATACATCCCTGATCTAATGCGACTTGCTTGTTTTTTGAATCATTTCAAAAAATGAAGAGAGCCATACGACTGTCAAATTTTCCATCCGCGTTTAGACGATCCCATCCGTTCTCTTCTACACAAAATTTTGACAGATCGTATTACTTGTGTGCTCGTGTGAAGTGGGCTTAATGGATAATTTTACTCCGGCGGAGTAGTTTTCAAAAATTGACTTTAACGTAGCTGCCGCCGTCCGGGTAAATACTTCTTATGCGTTCTGTTACATAAAGCTCTCCGATTAGATATTTTCCAGTTATCACGTTATCTACATAGTGAATATATAAAATAATATTGTTTAATTTGTT